GGCGAGATTGCTGTCATCATTTTGTTAGCGAACGGGACTTTGGGCACGATGCCCAACGAGTTTTTTTCATCTTCACCCGAAAAAAATAATCAATATCAAGGCCGAGATTACATTGATTTAATTTTTGTTAGTTTCAAATCACTATGTTATGAAACATAAAAATACCGTTAAATTGCCTTAATTAATACGTAGAAAATAGACTTAAATATCTTAGAGGAAAAATATCCTTCCAGTAACAAAAATATTAATTCGATAATATCATAGATGACAAATTACTCCTTAATTTTGGCGCGAAATTGCAGCATTAAGTTAGAATTTCACATGTGAAATTACAAAATTGTCATGGTAACGTTTGGCGCGAAATTTTTCGATAAAATAAACAAGTCAAAAACCCAGGATTTTAAGCGTAATATTTGTCACCCACGATATTACAAGGTAAGAGGCTCGGGAAATTATAAAAATTTTGACAAAACGCGCGTGAAATTATATCCTAATTGAACTCGTCACCATTTGATTAGCCATATTTGTAAAGCCCTCTACTGTTAGGGAGGTTTATTTTTTTGGAGTCGTAGCAATGTTTCAAAGATTTTTGTCAATCTTTTTGCTGTTTCACGTCGCTGTATCTAGAGAGTTTAAAACACATTATGTGCACCTAGATTATATATTCCGAAGTTGAACTGTAAGTCCAATTCTAACGTAAGCACGATTATTTTTCTTTTACTAATATTTCCCCCTAAAAATATGTTTTCTCTCATCAGAGGCTTCTCCTGCAGACATGTTTGATGTGAAAGCCTGTCAGAGGAAACTTGCAGAGCATTATCAAAAAACAACCAAGGTGCCCACCACTGCTTGGTCCTCAGTATTACAGGTGGAGCTTGAGAAGATCTACACTCGACTGTCCTGGGTGAAACAAGAACAAACCACAGCTGGGTCATCACAAAAGAAGCTGAGCCATTACACTGAAATGTTCACTGAGAAGACAAAGAACGGAGTTGTAGCAAAGAGAATTCTCGTGAAAGGAGAGATTGGAATTGGAAAAACGACTTTCGTTAAGAAGCTGCTCGTGGATTGGTCGAATCTTGAGGAGGCGATGATTGATAAGGAACGGAAAGATGCACTGAGGAAGTTTGACCTCGTTCTTGCTGTTAATCTCAAAGAAGTATCTAAGTGCCAGACGTTTAAAGAAGTAATAAGTCGCTCTCGGCTGTTTCCAGAAGACGACGAAAAGTCAGTAGACGATCTGCTCTGTTACATTCATGAGAATCAAGACAAAATTTTGCTTGTGTTTGATGGCTATGACGAGTACCGCACAGGCAGCGAAGCAGAGGAAAGGTATGGCAGCAGAAGCAAGTCTCCAATTTTCGAAATATTCCACGGGAATCGTTTGAGAGACTGTACTGTCTTGGTAACCACTCGATCTTCAAGAGCAGATGAGATACGCGGACCTGCTGACATGCAAGCCGAGATCACCGGGTTTAATATGCCTGATCGAGAGGACTTCATGAGAAAAATGCTGGATAGCCAAACTGAGGTGGATGGTCTGTTGCATTTCTTATCGGATAGTAACATGGAAGACCTAGCAAGAGTTCCGTTACTGACCCTCTTTTTTTGCTTGCTGTGGAAGAAAGAAAAGCAGAAATTGATGGAGCTAACCGAACGTAAAGCTAAATTGTATCAAGCAATTGTGGAACACATTTTGCGGCACAGCCACCGACGGCACTCCTCTTGTAAGACCTCGAAACTGAAAGGAACGGATGACGAGATTCTCGCTGAAATTGGAAAGGTGGCTTTAGCAGGTCTTCTCAAAGGCGATCTTGTGTTCGAGTTTGGAGAACTGCCTGAAAAGGTGCGCGGCGAAGAGGGTGTCATTGTTGGCCTTCTTCAATTTTCTGAGTACGGACCAAGTCTAGAACCAATGGAAATGGTATCCTTCATCCACACGAGTATACAAGATTACCTAGCGGCGTGGTACCTCATCTACAGCTGTGTCCCTAATGGTAATCTTGGTGAAATTGAGCAGCACGCCGGCACCTTTGAGAATTGTGTTGCCTTGGAGAATGTTTTTCAGTTCGTTTGTGGTTTGTCTGACGAAGGAGCAATAAAAGTACTTGAACACTTGAAGTCAGTCAGAATCTCTGACCCAACACTGGATTTATCAAAGACGATACCGGACATAGAAACCGAGACTGACGTGCCTCTTTGTGACATTACTTATAGGCAGCCGAGCTTCAGTAACTTATTTTATGATTCCTTTCGTGAAGTTCAATCAAAAGCTGAACTCTTAAATCATTTTCTTGATTGCACTGGTGGAGTCATCAATGTCACCAGAGATAGACCGGTTTCTGAACTGATGCCAAACGTAAACGTCTTGACTAAACTATCACATAATTGTGTTTTCAGTTTCATTGGGGAAGTCCTTTTATACCTCGTCACTTCTTATACAGCTTCTCCATCTGCGCATAAAGAATGCGTTGAAGACTCAGTATTGTACAAGTCACTTGATTTTTTCAATTGTTTGAAGACGCCACTAAGAGTAACTGAGACTTCTGAAGCTCTCACGGTTGAAGAATTCATAAGGAAGCTCAGCTTGAAATGTTTAAACGGCTGCTTGTTTATTTCCATCCTCAGTTTCCGTAATGGTCAGTTTCAGTTTTATACAACTGATTTGTTCCTGAGGTGTGATGTCCATGCCAGACTATTTACGGAATCTACTACGATTTCTGTTCCATCTAACGCTGCACGTTTGTGTTCAGAACAGTCATGCCTGAAATTGTTACGTTTTCTGCATTGTCATAACCTAAGCAGCCAAACAGTGAAAGCTCTTGGTGCAGTCATTGGAAATTGTAAGCATTTGAGTGGCATTGAAGTTGAGAAGGGTGATGACTCCATATGTTATTTGTTGGAACAAATGCGAAACCCCAGTAAGTGCTCTCTGAC